TTTTCTCCCATCCTTCCCAATTAGTCTAGAATGTAGAATGAAACCTGTTCTACCTGAATCCCATCTAAAAAGATCTTTCTCGCAAAAAAAAAAAAAATAAATAAATAAAAATAAAAAATGCACGTTGTAAAGAGTTCTTTTTTTTTTCCCCTCTAGTTTTGTCATCTGTTTCCCTAATAACTGTTTTTTTTTTTCAAGAATTTTTTTTGCGGGCTTTTCAAATTTTATATTCTTTTTGGTATGGTTAATACCGCTCTGCCAAATCCCCGGCAACAGACCCGGTAACCGATGAATTGCCGGATGAAAATCCACTCCCAGGATTCAGCATATCATGCACGGCAACCTTTGGAATCTGGGGGACTGGGAGTTTGCGCTGCGTCCCGTCCGTGCGGGACATGATGTCGCTGATGCTTGGCCCTACATGCGGCAGAGGGACGTAGTGGTTATTGACGTGGTTCATGCCATCCGTCTGGGGCTCCATGGGTGCCAGGGCTGGCGTGTGGTGGAGGGACAGGTGGCGGATGGAGGGCAGTTGGAGGTCGCTGGCCCCGAATGGCCGCAGGCGTGGTGAATGTGCCGGGGTAGCTAGCGGGGTGTGGTCTGGAGTTGGGGAGAGAGAGTCATGAGAGAAGGTTGGAGAGGAAGGGGCAGTGGAGTTCGGGGAGCAAGGGCGCGATCGTTTGGCCCGGTGGCTGTAATCTTCATCTTCGTGGGAGTGAGAGCGAGCCATGGAGTGGGAGAGGGCGTAGGCGGAGAGAGAGGGGAGACGACCGCTGGTATTGTGGTTGTATTGGTAGAGATGGTGGTGCGACCTTGAGTTGGGAGAGGGGTTGTACAGGCTGGAGCGGGACTGGTGTGGAGAGAGGTGGTATCCGGATGTGTTGTCATCACGTTCGACCTGTGAGGCTGCGGAGGCTAGCATGTTGATATCCATAGCGGCCGACTGTCTCTCGGACGGGCCTCTCCCGTAGGGGCCCAGGGTGGAGGGCATGTGGGAAGCGTAGTTGGTGTATGAGTGGGGGGGAGACACATTTGGCGATGCCACCTGGGAGACAGGTGCTGACCTGGTTATGGGCTTGCCAGGAGGTGGCATCATCGATCTCGACGGGGAGTTTGCGGTGGTGTGTGGCCTGTCCGACGTGGCGGTGGGAGCAATATGATGCTGCTGCTGCTGCTGCTGCTGTTGTTGTTGAGTGGGCTTGTGGCTTCTTCTCGAATTCGGGTTGTTGTGGATGCGAGAATGGCGGGTGAGTTCGTCTGAGCGACTAAATCGCTTTGAACAGCCTGGGTGTTGGCAGGCATGTGGCTTCTCTCCCGTATGGGTGCGGATGTGCCGAGTCTGATGCTCCAGACGGTGGAAAGCACGGTCACAGAGAGGGCATTTGTAGGGTCGAGGGAGGCTCTGTCGTGGTTCTTCACCGCCTGCACGAGCGCCTTTCACCAGAGGCGGTAGCAGGCTGACCGGGGAGGAGTCCATGGTTGGAGTCGTAGCAGCAGGGGAGGTGGGAGAGGAAGTCAACGAAGGAGATGGCTCTTGAGGGTGGATAGAGTCGAGCTGAGGGTTCAGCAGATTTGAAAAATCTACTGCAGTTGAGAGCCGTGGCATTTACAGCAGGACGACGAAAGCACAAGCCCTGAGAGTATACGTTTCTTGCGGTAGAATAAGTGTAGGAGAAGACACTATGGAAGAGGCGTAGTAGTGGTTGGCAGTGGCGGTTGCAGCAGTTGGTAGTTGTAGTAGTGGTGGTGGTGGTGTGGAAGCGTTGAGAAATATCAGATGGAGGAGACGGAGGAGGGGAGGCAGAAAAATAGGCGCCTTGCAGCGGTATTAGTAGTGGCAGCGTCGTGCGTCGTGCGTAGTGCGAGGATTGACTGGCACTAGCGGCAGTGGAATGTGTGGAGAGAAAGGCGTGACCGGGAGAAGGGCTGAGATTGGGGGTTGCAGTGTGGGGGCGCTGTCGACGGTCTCAGCGGGAGGCAGAGCCGTCAGCCCAGACGAGCGACGAGAGGACGAGAGGACGAGACAAGATGACAAGGTAAGACGACAAAGGATGTATCCGCCACAGGAGTTGAGGATAGTATGGTATATATGGTATATAATACGGAGTGGTGGGAGCAGCAATGAGTCGTGATAGGGATGGTTAAATAAGAGCGAGGGCGGTGGCGGGCAGCATCACAGGCAGGCCGGAGGTGAAGGAAGAAAAGAAACAACGGGGAAGAAAGAAGGAAAGCGGATGGTGATGCGGCGTGGTTTGGGGGAAAGAAAAAAAGAAAAAACCTTAAAAACCCAAAACAACGACAACAACGACAAGAAAAGAAAAGAAAAAAAAAGAAAAGAAAAAGAGCCGGAGGTACAAGGTCGGCGGAGTGGGGCCAGGGTTCTGGATGCGGCGTCACTGTGGGTGTGTGGTCAGTGTGGTCAGTGTGGTCAGAGTGCAGCAGTCGGAGTCAGAGTGTGCGCGTGTTTTTTGCAGTTCATCTGGGCTTGGTTCCAAGGTTACGGAGTCACACTTCAAAAGTTCGTTCCCCCCCCAAGACACTAAGAAGACGTCAAATTTTCAGAAGTATATGAGGATGTCTCTCAATTTTGATGATTTTGATTTATCTATCCACTGCTCGCTCTAATCTAAACTGAGAATTCACTCAATCTCAATTTAGTTGAGCTCTGCAGACTCTGAATGAAAACATCAAGCTGCTAAGAAGAGGAGTTGAATGAAAGCTATTAAGACATAGATGCAATCAATGCTTACGAGATCTCTAACAGAAGATCATACAGACACGGATAGAGTGATAAAGAAGGCGATGAATCATATCATATAAAATCAGTGTAAAATTCCATTAATAGTTTGTGGCGTTTTTGGCGTTTTGAGTAACGGGAACGAACTTTTGAAGTGCACCTCCATACAAAGGGCAGGTTTTTTTTTAAAGTTCTCTCTCCCCTTTTTTTTTAAGTTTCTTCTTTTTTATGTATTTTTTTTTTTTTTTTTTTTTTTTTTTTTTGCAAAACACAAATTTGCATGTGTCTGGGCGAGGAAAGGCTGGTTAGTGTTGTTTTCGTACCGAGGCCGTACCGTCGACGGAGATTGCGGAGAGGGCGATGGAAGTAGAAGGTTTGCTTGGAAAACAGGCAGACGCCATGATGTATGTGTATTATCACTTGCGTCTCGGTTACTCTCGTGAATAGGGGATTTGGCCCTTCTTCGTAAAATATAATATCAGTATTATTACTATGAGTTAATGTTTTTGACTATTACGACGACCAACTAGCACCACCACCACCACCACCACCACCACTACTAACTACTTCTGAAATGGACATACGCTGCTAAATTAACATAAATTTGCTCCTCGTCATCGCTGCCCCATGTTCCGGCGGCGGCTGGCGAGTCGTTGACCCGTGGTTTGGGTGGAAGGGTGGGGAGGGCTAACATGGTAATTCCCCTTGCCATCGTCAGCGTCCAGAGCGTAGACTCAAGCAGGGGCTCCCAAGACCCTTGGGCCTTGTGCTGGCCCAGCACGGGGATGCAGATGGACTGTGGGATTGGCCTGTTGTTGTCGATTTATCTGATTCACTAACTACGCCATAGTTGTTGATCGTACGATGGCGATGAATTTGGATTGGCCAAAAAAATCGTACTAGCACGATAGTTACTAGAATTTAGGCGAGGTACCTAGGTCTTAATCAGATTGGAATAGAAAAGAACTTGATGTGCAGCCGGGTAGCCTTCGGTGCCCCTTGCGTTGTGTACTCGATATACACTGCGTAGATTTGGGCAATACCTGTCCTTTTCCATACATGAATGGGATGGCAATGCCCGGGTGCTACCTAGGGTAACCCACCTTATGTACTACTTCCTGTGCACAATCTTCAAGGTAACCCCCCCCCCCCCCCCTTACCAGATTCCATGCAGTGGTACATGTGTTTGTGCATCCGCTTGTTGTTCGGGCATCTCCATGTGCTTAGTTCCCATATCTGAGCAACTTTGGTATGCAGCAGTATCGATGGGTGCTGGGGTTACAATGAAAGCCCTAAACCCGCTCCACGCACAGCCTCATCCTCACTTATCATTTACTCCTGACATAATCGTCCCGCTGGCCAAGAAAAAAAGAAGCTCCGAGTTAAATTCTAACCTGAGCCAAGAGCCAAGAACCAAGAACCAAGAGCTTTGACTTGGAAGCTTGAAGCTTGAGCTTGCAATGATCCCCCTCGCATTCGCAATTCGCAATCTGTATTCCGCAATCCGCGATCCGCAATCCGCATTCGCATTCCGTATTCCACATTCTACAATCATTATCCGGCACTTTTTGCTCTGAATTTGCCATTTGGCCGAGCAGGCAGGAACAAACACCCCGAGCAGCAATCAGTGAGAAAAAGCGGTTTCAAGGGCTCAAACGGGGGGCGCAAAGAAAGGGGGAGGACTGAATAGGATTAACTACTAGTAGTAGTATAGTATAGTGGGACCATTCGGATGAGCCTCCGCGCCCACGCCCACGGCTACGTCCATGTTACATGGCTTTATCGCAACTTAATACCTACTAGCCGATGAAGACTTCTCAGATAAACTCTCTCCCCCTGTTTTTTTTTTCCTTTTTCTCCTTGCTCAATCTCCGCCAGGAAGCGGGGGCTTCCAAGTTATTTTTGCCTCCGGCTGCTTCTGCAACCCCAGAGAGCCCCCTTTTAGCCATGATAACCTAGGCAAATTTTCTCGTCATGGAGCCGCGGGTGCGCGGGTATGGGCGGATAAAACAAATTGCCAAGAAATAAGTGGGGTTTTGCAAAGGCCAAAATTGACGCTTGAACCAAAAAGGATCAAAGTGCGGAGATAACTTTATTCCAGCCCCGGTTCCTGTTTGAGGAAATTGGCTCGACGATAATAACACGGGTGCCCCGGCTCCCTCGGTTGATTTCGGGGGAGTTTTTATTTCGCTTGGGTTCTTACTTTCTTTTTTTTTTTTGGGTGGAGAATTGCGTCATTCAACGTTGTTGAACATGAAATCCGCCTTCAAACATGTGCGTAGATCCCAACATTTCAAGCAATTACCGGGGAAATACCTAGGTATTTTCATTTTCATTTTCATTTTCATTTTCACTTTCACCAATTTACAATAGAGCCGAACGGGGCAGGGATATATTAGGTGCCTGCTACAATACAATATAGCTATGCTATCCAGCATTGGCATTGTTCGTTCCATTTTCGAACGCCCCTACACTCCCAGTCCTCTCACCCTCGTGACAATAAACGCTTATTCAACCATGGGGGAAGTTGCTGTTTTTATTTAAAAATAAAGTGAGCCCTCACGTTTACCTATTAATAGAGGTTCTTACACATGTGTTTCAAGCACGGGCGTCGGAACTCTTCGCTGTGCGTTCGACAAGTTCAAATTATGTTGCTTTTGTTTCCCAAAGATTAGCTTCTTTTATTTTATGTTCGTTTTGTTTGTTTGGATTTTGCTTCTCCAGGAAAAGCTTGTGAGCCTGCTAGGCTCCCTCAGTTTTTGGGCGTGGAGATTTTGCTCTGTTCCGCATCTTCATTGTTTCGAGCAAGTTGATATAGTTACAGAATCGTTTCCTCAAAGAATCGAACCCCCCTTCATCCATTCGTCGTTCTTTTTTTTCTTTTTCTTGTTTTTTGTTTCAAGGGGACTGAAAGCTTCCCCGGGCTCCGGCTACCAGCGCAGGCGTGTTCCGGGGGAATGGAAACCAGGTAACTGTCAGTTGCCACACGGGAAGCTGTCGCAATCCACCCTGCGTACCTTGATTGACCGCTTTTAAATTTTTTTTTTTTTTTTTAATATATGTTTTGGCCCGGGAAGCTTAGGGAGCCTTGATGTAAGTAAGGTTTTGCATATGATATCAGAGCAAAGGCTGGCCTGAGGTACAGAGGTATGATGCAAGGGGCTTGAATAGGTTAGTTCTAATTAGGATTTTGCTAATTATTATTTTATTTTTATTTTCCTGGATTTCTTAACATCATCTCCTTTTTTAAAGAAACGGTTCTTATCATCCATGAGGTAACATTCTTTATTATTTTTTCTTCAAATGACTATGATTCCGTGAATCATACCTTCAACTGACACTCCAGGCTTCTAGCTTTTTTCCAACCTTCCTCATCGAGGACCCAGATCACAGGGATTGAAGTTTCGGCTAGAAAATACCTAGAAAATACCTAGAAAATACCTTGTTCTTTTTCTTATTTTCACGCCTTATGACGCCTTCTCTAATGTTAATTGACTTCTAGTTTTGAATATCCAACCAGGTGTTGGCGGTGGTGAGGTGGTGGATATGTTAGTTGCTGAGTTGTGATGATAATAGCCCTGGGTTTTCCTATATATTTTTTCCTTCCCGCCTATTTCTTTTTTTTTTCCGTTTCGGGTCTTTTCTTGTCGCAGCAGAAGCTGATGAGTGGACTAGCAATGCCGTTTTCAGCCCATTGTCCTGAATTGGTTTTCCTTTTTTTCCCTTTTTTTTTCTTAGGTACCATATTACTATGGTGATCAATGTCGCACTGCCTTGTATTTTTGCAAAAATGATAATTCCCGATCGACCAGAAAAAATGGGGCCCCATGTGAAGTGTTATTCCGCAAAGTGCCCGGTCAAGCACTGCACATCCCCGTTCAATTGAGCAAGGCGTACCCCGTCTATGAGCAGATTATCTACCAGATCATGCATGGAAATGCTAATCTCTTTTTATTTATTCTTTTTCCGGGGCAGCCGGGGACAGTCGAGTAGTTAACTTTGTTGCGACGCCCCAAAGTTACAATGAACCACTCACCGCCTTCATCAATATCTGAAAAAGAAAACAAAAAGAAAAAAAAAAGAAAAAAAAAAGAAAAAAAAAAGAAAAAAAAAAGAAACCTGAAGGACTGACGCCTCGTTTCGCGGGGAAATCGATAGCACTACCCCGCCAAGCTCACATCCCTCAAGCCCCAACCAACGCCAACCAATTCCACCCACCATGTCACCCCCATCATCACCGCATCAGGCGCCCAGCTCAAGGCGCTTTTAAAATTCCCCATCGCGGAGGTGCTGTGTAACTCAGCTTCCTGCCTCTCAATGACAGCCTGCCTATCGGATCCTTCCAACAGGTAGTATGCAACGCATCGTATTATCATTGGCATTCAACGGAAATTTCCTACCCTGTCGCTCATCCGCGACCCGCAGGCCCCTGGACGGTGATAAACTCAGCAATAAATGACCCCATTGATAGATTCATTTGTCCTTCCCGTAACAGCAAAATCAATTAGTTTCGTACGCCAATTATGAGCGTTGCAATTTATGAAAAAAAAAAAGAAAAAAGAAAAATCCAAAAACGACTGACCATTCAAAATATGATGCTGTTTCGCCGTCGCATTTAACAGGCAGATGAAATTTTTATTTTAATTTTTTTTTTTGAAACATAATGCCAGTATGTAATGGGGTACATCCGTAAAGCCACCATTCACCCCCATGCAACCGCCATGCCCCTTCCCCTCAAAAATGTCAGCTCTCGTCGTTCTCTTCCGACATCCCCAGGAGGCTGAGCTAGGCCTGGCGGATGGGAGAATCCGGGGATGATGTGATGGCCGCCATTTCGTTTGAGGCGCACGTAGTCTGCGCCGGAAATATGCGAGCACCCGCCTGCTGTTCTTATTCGTTCCTTGCATTTTCCTCTTGTTCCTTTTTTTTTTTTTTTTTTTTTTTTTCTGTTTGCTTGATGTGAACAGTTTCAAAGCCACTCAATCAATCAGTTGGAATCATCCTCTCAGATGTGATTGAATATTTGAAAGCCAGGGTGAACGGGAGAAATTCAGGTTGATGGGGGAACTTCAACCCCCCCTTTTCCCCAATTTTTTTTTCTTTTCTTTTTTTTTTTTTTTTTCGCTCTACTTCTATTTTTAAAGAGTCCATGTCAACAAAAATCCGGGGAACCCTTCCAGAGCAGAAACGTAGGACCCGACTTGGAACGGAGAACAACACCATGTAACTCTGAGCTGACAACCAAGGCTTATTTTCCTTTCTTTCGTTCTTTCATTCCCTTCCACATGTAACGACAATACATGGTAAATAAAGCTGAAATGAAAGTGTCAAAAAAAAAAAAAAAAAAAGGAAGCAAAAAACAAACGGTGCCATCAATATCATTATTACGCCATTTTGATAACTACTAATCCGGGGTACATTCAACCAAGTATCCATTTTCTCCTCGCTCCCCGGTGGTGCCAAAGGTAAAACCGCCAACGAACCAGCTTTCACCCATCTAGCCACACTACTGGCACGCAAAATTACATAGTAGTAATCTGCTTTTTCCCAGATACGGCCAGGCATATTTTTCATCCGCAGAATTAAATTTCCACATGCGCAGCGCGCTGAGAAGGGAAAGTAAGTCACCTGGCAAATTTTTCCCCCTTGGAGATTTGCCTTCCAGCAGCTTTTTAACATTCTTTCCATTGGGCCTTTCTTGTTTGTTTTTATTTATTTATTTTTTGTTCGATATGGCTATCTTTACCTGACTTGTTCTTGAATTGCTTGACAATTTGCTAGCCAAGGCCAGGGCTTTTCTTGTTGTTTCGCGTGTTCAATCTGGCCCTAGCTGTTTAGCAACCATATCCCTTAGTTGCGTGAGAACAAGAAATGGCGCTCTCTCAACCTATGCACCATTTGAAGTGCTAGGGCTGTGCTCGTCAAAAGTGTCGGCAAGGGCTGTTCCAAGATCACCAAAAAAAAAACAAAAAAAGCGCTGAAAAGATTCTGTCTTTCCGGGCTTCTACATGGCACTCTGGAAGAAAGTACAGCGTCCAGCGTCCATTTGCTTCTTGCGCAATATCTCCCCCCTCCTTGTTTGTTCATCGTTCTAACCAGTTGAAAGCGGCCTTTGTGAAAGGCCGAAAAAGGGCACCCCGTCCTCTACTAAAGGGAAGTGGATATTTATGAGATCTGCTCACTGCCTTGCGTCGCGCGCCATATATTGGGGCGATGCGGGAAACGATCAAGTCTATGTATGGTGTATATTTTTCTTTTGGCCTGTGGTCGTTAAGAAGAGGGCAAACTCAAGATTAATTACTATTGGCTGGTCAGGAGATGTAGCTTCCTGATGGCTGTGTTATCTTTGTTCGTTTCCTCTTGACTATTAGGTCATGAGAGAGGGCCTACAACAGAGCAAGCATGGCGGGATTTCATACGGGGTGTTAATCTATATGAGTATTGGGTAATTTGACCAGCAGAAGAAAACCATGTAACTGTTGGTTCCTGGGCGACAACAGACTAAACTTTGCCGAGACATCAAATTGCACTGTGTCAGATGGACTCTCAGCCCAATTGCTTATCTGATAGAAAGGGTACATCGTAGAAAAGTAGAGTAGGTTGGCCGCGAATGCAAGAGAGATGAGCTAACTTAAATCTATGACTGCAATTTGTGATTTCGGTTGCTTTCAATTCAATGGGATGATGCATGACCGAGCAGGTATCTGGTAGTGACAGTAGACAATGCCGGCGAAAACTGCAATAGCAGTTGTATTCAGCGGGGAACAATCCAGCATGATCTGGTGCCTTCTTTGAATTAGCGGTAACAATTTTACGAAGATTTGATACCCACCAGAATCATTTTCCACCAAGGTAAATATTTTGCTGGGGACTGGCTGATGCTGTAACTTTATTTTGACCTCCGGAGTTGCGTTTGTGTGCAGGGATCCAAAGCCAAGATTTAAGATTGAGATTGGCAGGAGATGATGTGATTTAGAATTTTTAAGTTAGTCACCGAAAATATCTGCGTGGGGGTCAATTCTTATATCCTTTTCCTTTTTTTCTTTTAATTTTCAATTTTTCAATTTTTCAACTTTAAGTTCGTTTTTGATTCATTTCTTATCCATCAGCTCAAACCCCCTCTTCTTGTCAGATGTTTATTGGCTTTTGTATGAATGTTATGTTTATTTGCCTCATCACTGTCTCTCCATATGTCGTCTTTCAACATCATTGATGGTGGTGGGGCAATTCTGTCTTTGCCTTCAACAACAAACAAAATTGTGGCGGTGAGGGATATAGTTATAAAATCGATCAAGGTCCTCTTTCATGCTCTTTTGCCTTTGTTTGATTTCAGTCAAGTTAGTAAGAAATTAGATGTGTTTCTTTGTCACATTTTTTTTTTTTTTTTTTTTTTACATTTCTTGACATTTGACTCCGTCTTTCAGGGGTGTCTTGAAAACTTGAAAACTTGTGTGCTTGGCTGCGTTTCCTATCTCTCCCACTATTGTTAGCATTATTATATTCCCCACAACATATCTGGGATAACAATCCCGGTTCCGGATGTTTGGGATTAGACATGGAATGCACCTTGCAGGCGGTGGGCATACTATTCTAAACAAAAGTTTAAAACTAGGAAGAAAACCAAAGTAATAAGGAAAATTCCCCTGCCATGCGTCAGAGGGGGGATTGACAAAAAATTGGCAAAATGTAAATGACAATAGTAAGAAGAAAAGGGGATGCTGAACTTTTGTTAGTTTTGGTAGTTATTATTGACTGATACATAGCTCCGGACCGACTCTAGCTGTGGCCTTCACCTGTATAAACTTTTGCCCGCAACGAAGTTATTCTTCATCTGATCTGCTGTCTTTGTTGGCTCGTGTTCCGGGGTTGACAGATGTCCCGCTGCTGATCCCCCGCATTTTATCAATCGAATTTCTTTTTCCTGAATGTGTCGCGCTGTAACTCCGTGCATAGAGCATTCCCTCCATGCTTCGCTGACTCCGCAAACAACAATTACATCCACTATTTACAGATACGGTATGAAGAAGCGAATTTTTGCGGATTAGAAAATAAAGTCAGAAAAACAAAAGAAAATATTTTTCCATCAACATCCATTCTGCCCGCACCAAACCTCTTAGCTTGTTCACCCCCAACCCAACAAAAAGAGACTTCTTTTTAATTAGTTAACTAACTCACCCTTGGCTGCTGAGATCATCCGGGGGTAGCCAGGATTGCGAAGATTTTCCCCGCTTTTTGCGCATGTTTCCACCTCCACCCACCAAACCCTAATCTCAATCTGCTGGTGGTCTGAATCTGGAGATCATCAAAGTATCCGCTTACATACGGCAGGTACGGCAGGTCAGCCGTCGCTGGTTTCCTAAGAACCTAGGGGCCAAACCTTTGTTCTAAATTCCAACGTTACTGGCCGGCTGGCGTAATGGCTAACGCATCCGTTTCCGGTTTACCAGATTCTCAACTGGACATTTCCAGTCTGCGGAAGATTGCAGGTTCGAGTCCTGCGTCGGTCGAATTTTTTTTTATTTTTTCATTTCTACAGATTCTTAGTATCTTTAACATTCCCGCCGTTATCAGTGGATTTTCTTCTCAGTCAATAATTTTATTATACTCAGAACAGCTAGCACATCTGTGTCTCGTTGAGCTAAGAATTCTTCTTCTTCAATGGACATTGACAGCCCTTATCGTGGCCTCTCTGTATACATGCCAGGCCCCCTCGCCCACATTGCAATTCGGGGTTTTCATTGCCTTCCCCCCTCATAATGCCTCTATGGACTGCTGGTTGGACATAAAGGTCTCAAAGAAGGAATTGATAAGTTGACCAACCTGGACAAAAAGGCTGGGCAGCAATGGCTCCGCTAAGTTGATTCTCGGTTACTGGCGGTCACCAGCAGTTATTTTGATATAGGTAAGTGTCACTGGCCCAAAGAATTCTGTTGATAATCACCCGACTTGAATGGCTTGTGTGCTGGTTACCTTTGTGGAGAATGTTGTGCTTCGGCGCTCATTACCCATTGGATCTCCAATCCGAGTGTTCTCTTCAGTGCGAGTCTCATCTAGAAGAATTTATGCAGGAGCGGATGATGAATGTCATCCCATCTCGCTCTTCAACTACTCCACCCTTCCATCTATATTGACGGATAAGGGTCACTTTGATTCATCCGTGATGATCCTCTGCTAACCGCCCATTTTACGCAGGAGTCTAAAGGGGCAATTAGGAGGAATTGTGTAAGATAATGTCCATTTTGAAGAATTGATGAATACCATGTACGCCACCTGTCCTGTCCCCGATTTAATTCTACCCCACGCACATAAAGATAGCATACCTAGTAGACCACTCAAACCAATCCTGTTTCAGAAAGTTGGGGCTTCCCTACCCCCTGGTACATAAAGAAGGGTTGAAGACCTCAATCGGAGGGCAAACTTTTGGCCCCAACACCCCAACATCGAAAGACCCCACGCTTCCGTGTATATGAGTGGTCTGATCAAACATCCGTAGCATCATTGCAACTCCGGGGAGGTGATGCATAACTCATGCAATATATTTGCCAACTCTACTTTTCCGGTTACCTCCCCCACCACCCCTGGCCTGTTGAGAAATACCCATGACCGAAAGGATCATGGCCATCTAGAGCAGCAAGGATGGTTGTAGATTGCGTGGATAAGCCTCCTTCGGCTGGGGTAAACCCAGTCATATCTTTAGAGGACGTGGGGGGAGGGTCGCGCGTGGCCTGGATGAATCTCTATGGATGGACTGCATTTCGATGGATATCTGCAGGTATACGTCTGGACCGCGCCTTCTGTGATCTGCTTGTTTGAGCCCATTCTCCGTTTGTCCTCATGTGCAGATGGATTGAAGAGTAGCCAGCCTCTTCTCCTTGCGCTGCTTCTTGCTTACTTGGCTTGAAGGTTTGAATTATGCGAATATTATTCCTTTGTTCATTCCTTTATTTTTATTTTATTTTCTCCTTGCGCCTTCCAAAAGGAGCACTCGGAGCATTAGCTCTGCGGTTCTAGAATTCGCTTCACCGAACACAATGGCGCGAGACAGCCGCCAAGTGGGACAGGATAGAGCTTATCCATCATTTGCAAGCTATAGCTCACAGACACGCTGGATGCCGGAAGCCTAGGTGCATAGTTTAGCATTCAATTATTGCAGCCCGAAGAAGGGGATGATCATATAAGAGTTGAAGTTCGACTCCACTACACAATCTCCTCCCCAGCAACGTTGAATTTTCTGTTCAACTCAATAACACAACCCTGGAGCACAACAAGATCATCCTGTTTTACCTTAGTCAAAATGTAATTTTGCAATCTGCAAAAGATCTGCCATCATCGAAGTCCCACTCCTCTTCAGGAGAAGAGGATCTAGTTGATCATGACTCTAGTTTGACGTTGTGAAAAAACATCAAATACAAACATGACAATTGAGAACCACGACCAGAAGTGGAGGAGATGTGGGGGCTTGTTTGTTTAACAGCCTAGACAGCTGGGATTTCAACAAGTTTATCAGAACTCGTCACCCAGCGTCGAAGCTAGCGACAAATGTATCCACAGCGAGTATGTCGCGATTTTTTGATATATAGGCGATTCCGATTCA